AGCAGCGATTCCCAACCTGTGGTACGCGTACCCCTAGGGGTACGCGATAGGTTGTTTAGGGGTACAGAAAAAAGTTTGTTATTATGGCAGAAAAAATAATATATTATGTATCACAAACTAATAGTATTAAAAAATTATTAGATAAATAATGTTCCTTGCAACAATCACAACTTTATTATACATTTTTTCTTTTAGTTTTTTTTCTTTAATTTATAGTTACAATATGTAAAATTAACAATACGGTTACTCACTAAATTTCTTAAATGAGGGGTACAATCTAGAGATATGACATGTCACGGGGTACAATCTAGAGATATGGCATGTCACGGGGTACGCTAATGAAAAAAGGTTGGGAACCACTGTTTTAGACTAATCAAACCAAATGCAATACCAGATTTTCCATAAGAACCTTTGTACATTTCTGTAGTATCTGTAAATCCAGCAAACTGCAAGATTTAAGTAAGCTTTTTTTTTAACTCTTTCCTCTTTATGGGCACTAAGAAGGCCTCTTTTAGCAAGATTATTCCTCAAAAAATTCCTAAAGATATTTTTTTGGCCCTTCCAGATTCAATCCCAGGTCCCCAGAGCAGTAGGCTGCCACCTTGATTGCTTGGCCATCTGGCCTAGATTTAAGTAAGATAAGAATGCACTTGTGGCCAGAAGTAGTTTAATAAAATCACTAGTCCAGAGAAAATTTAAAATATGAGTGATTTTGATGAATAAGCATGTGAAAGAAACAAAAGAAGCTATTTGTATTATTTTAAAGTTTTCTTTATTGATTTTACCACTAAAGTCTATTAGCTGAACCTATTTGTATTTGCTAAAGTATTTGTTTCCAAAACAGGCCCAAAATTTTTATTTTCATTAATTTTTTTTGTATTTAAAAATTATTCAAGTGCTTTGCATGTACTACATATAGATCACAAATATAAAAATGTATAGTTAAAAACATATATGAATGTTTAAATAATTAATTCTTAAAATGTGTTGTTTCATTTTCCAAAAAAAAAGTAGTCTTGTGGAATTGAGCCTCTCTTGGAATAAATTATTCAAGTATATCCTAAAAAATAATTAATTTTTGAAAAAAACGTTATTTTTAAAATGATATAGATTGTTCTTGTCAAAAATTAAATACATAAAAAATATTATTGTTTGCTAAACATAACTGTTAAATGGTATTGTAAGCTTCAATAAGCATAGAATACATTCATTCTTTTTATTGCCAGTGTACTTGTCTCTGTTATAATGTACATTTTCATCATATCTTGTATTTATAGTTTGTTAATATACATTGGTACTGTAATAAAAAATAAAATCCATACATAGGTACATAAGATCTGACTCACTTGTTTAATTGATTTGTTTAAAAAACTTAATTTTCACTTCTACTATTTTTATTGTGCCATGTTTATTCCATTTCCTTCCTAAAACATTATTATTAGGTGCAATGTGCAATCTGCACACACTGAAGAGGACAATATGTTGAAGTGCATTTTGTACAAAACGGATATGAATTATTGAATTAAAGGAGTGAAATAGAGTTCTCTTTGTGTTTAGATGATTTACAGTTAACTTGATTAAACTGTCTTCATATTTTGATTCTGGTCATCAATCTTCTTTATGCACTATTAGTTTTTTGTTTCTGACTTTTGTGTTAAAAAAAATCATTTTAAGACAAGCTAGGTCTCTCACATTAAAAATATCATCATCATCATTTTTATTATTATTATGTTACTCTAACAATTTCTTTTCTAATCTAACAGTCTTGTTGAATTCTTATAGTCCAATGAAGATTCTTCTCTAATTAATATGACATATTAGGTTGTTCAGAAAGTAAGTTCTTTTTTTTACCACTAGACAGATTAGTCGTATTTTTCCTGCCATTTTCATTCTAAACCGTATTATCAATATATATTTTGACAGCTAGCATTTTAAGGCTTATTTGTAAGATTTTGTTTGATTCTGTGCAACTGTTCATTTTTTGTGTCTCATCAAATATGGAAGATCAAAAGCATCATTTTCGGCATATTTTGTTTTGCTTTTTTTATTACCAAAAAATCAAAATGCTGTTCAAGCAAGAAAAAAATTGTGTGACATGTATGGAAAAGATGTATTGATAGAACAACAGTGCCAAAACTGGTTTACAAAATTTCGTTCTGGCAATTTCAATATTGAAGATGCACCATGTTCTGAATGGCTAGTTGAAGCCAATGAAAACAAAATAAAGGTACTGATTGAAGCAAACTGCCAAATAACAACATATGAAATCGCTAAGAAATTAAATTTGTCAAATTGAACCATTTATGATTACTTGAAACAAATTTATTTTGTTTCAAAGCTTGACATATGGGTTCCACATGTTCTTAAAGAGAGATGCTCTCTTTGGTGGGATTTTAAGAAAATTTTTTTGGAGCTTTTACCAGACAATTTAACAATTGATTCAAAAGTGTACTGCCATCGAGTAAACAAACTGAGTAATATCATCAAACAGAAAAGGCAGCCAGAATTGATCAACAAAATAGGTATAGTGTTTTACCACGATAATGTCAAATTTCACACAAGTTCGGTAACTCGTCAGAAACTGTTATAACTTAGATGGGATGTACTATCATACCAACCATATTTGCCAGAATGAGCACACTCAGATTATTACTTGTTCCAGTCTATACAAATTTTTTTAACTGTAAGACATTTACTTGAAATGACAATGTCAAAAATCACTTGGATCATTTTTTGTAAGCAATGATCAAAACTTTTATGAATTTGCAGAAGTGTGTACTACATTAGGAGCTTGTTTTGAAAGTAGTGCAGTGTAAGAGTTTTGTATGTTGAGGAATAAAACCTGTACCAAAAACATGGTTTATTTTTGACTACTACTTAAGTTTATAATAATGCTAAAAATATCTTTTCCAAAATAGACCGTTTAGAATTTTGAATGCAGTAATATAACTGAAAACAGATTACTATTATTATTATACTGTGTATCATTAAATTGAATATATCTCAATAAGAAAAAAAGTGTTCCATTAATTTCTTTTCTATATTGCTTTGCATCTATCTTTCCTGCTTGTAGATTTAAAACAAAAGTTTCAATACAATTTTTTTTTATCAATACTTTTTAGTACTTTCAAATCATTTAAAACATTTTCATGACTTTAACATAAAATTAATGCATTATACTAATTCATCAAATGACCAGAAAAGCAATTAATAAAGAAATGCATTACTAATATAAAAGTATTTTTATTTTAATTCTATAAATTATTTTAATTTAATTCTATTCTATTATTTTAATTCTACTAATTCACAAAAGTTAAATCTAGTTTTAAAAAAATTTTCTTCTCCAAACCAAATTTTTTCTGATTTTTTATTATTCTAAAACTGTTCTAGAACAAATTTATATGAAAGTAAATAGAATTGATTTAAATATTAAAAGATGAAAATATTCAAAATATCTTTTGCCTTAATTTCTTTTTCACATAGTATTGTTCTCTTATTTAGAAACACTTTACAAAGTCAAAAAAAAAAAAACTTATGGTCCACATAAATTCAAATAGACTACTCATTATGATATAGAAATGTACATGAATCAACACTCACAATAGGTAATTATAAAAGCATTTTGTTTATACAGAATAATAGATATCACTTACCCATAACTTATCATCTTTGCCTGGTGGACTCTTTTGAATAAAGGCTCCATAGTAAGTGGCAATATTGCGATGGTGAGAAAACTGAAAAAAATTTGAACAATTTCTTCAATAAATGTTAATTTTTTTACACAGAATTCCATATTATGTTCATATATTATGCAATTATTGATTAAATAACAATTAGATTAATTAAAACACCTACATATGCAATTAAAACTTTTCAAATGTAAAATTATATATTTAAATAAAACATGTTTATGTATCTTTTTCCCTGATTTATTTTGATGTAAAATAGTATTATGACTCTGAAATCTATTTGACAGTTTTCAGGCCCATAATGCTATTTTACAATGTTTTATTTTGGAATTTATTTTTCATATAGGCAGGGTTTCATTTTTTAGAAGGTCAACATTTTAAAAGATCAACTTTAGACACATCTAAAATATGTCTAAAGTTGATCTTCTAAAATGAACTAATTGAATTGATAAATGAATGACATCAACGTAAAAAATGTATTGCAAGTATAGCAGAAATAATCTGCATTTGTATAAATTATGTTAACTAATTAAAATATTTTATTATTTTAAAATGTACATGAAATTGTAAATGAACAATCATCAATCCCAATTTATTAATATTAATCCAAATACCCAATTGCCAGATTTTTCATGCTCCACTTACACTATTAATTTAAATCAATAGCCCAAACAGCCTGATCTGTTAAAGTTAGGTAATTAGGTATTTTTGATTGATCTCTCAGAATATACATATATATTACTAATTAACTATGTTCAAATGATATAAAAGAATAAAGAAGATAATTTGAGAAACTTTTTTGTCAAAAATTTTTATATATGAAAAAATTCAATATTGTTAAGGAATAAAAATATATAATTCTAAAAGTTTATTAGAATTAAGTGGAATTGAAACATTTATGAATTTGATTTCAATAATAATTTACCTTTTTCAAAACATTAATTTCAAGTTTAATTTCTTCTTCTTCATCCTAAAAAGAAAATTTTTGTTTACATTTAATATTCTTTTCAAATTTTCCACAAGTTATTTCTAATTTAAGATTAATTAATTACCATATATTAAAGCTTTTTATCAGGAATAAACAACAAATAAAAATACAGTAGAGCATCGATTATCCGACTCAATTGGGGACTGGGATTGGTCGGATAACTGAAAAAACAGATAACCAAAAAGTATGAAAAAATACATTATTAGTATAGTATATCCCATGCAATTAGTATATCCCACGTAATTAGTACTGTATATCGCTATTAACCTACTTCGCGTTGAATTTTCATCGATGTTAAGCCTAACAAAAATTTTTTTTAAATAATAATAATCGCTATTGTATCATTAAAAATTATTTTTAAATTATTTTATTTCTCACAAAACAAATAACCACTCATAATTAGAAAATTGAGCCCTGTTTAAATACTGTCCTCCCTTTCATGGTTGAGCCAGTGTTGCCAGCTAAAACATGCAAAAATTTAAAAAAAATAATATTAAAGTAACCAATATATAACCAAATATTGTAGCGCCACATCACTAGCAGACATTTGAAATTTGCCGACTAGAACGGTCGGTTAACCGATGTGACAGTTGATTGGGGGGGGCGGATAATCAATGCTCTACTGTATATATATAACTCAAATAAAAAACAAAAAGAACGAAAAAACAGTACTTCACAAACGTTTTCAAACTGAGGCATACACATCACATAGCCACTGACCATGGGTACCCCAAGCTCGCCCATGAATTGATCGACAGATTCCACCATTCCCAATGCGCAGTCCAAGTCAACTCTCATGGCAAAAACTGACCCAAAGATGAAGAAAGGATCCCAGTCACTTACAACCCATATCTCAAATCACTATATACCAAGATAGCCAAGAAGCACTGCATTTGCATCGCATACAGATGTCCAACCGTATTTGACATCATTCGTAAAGGAAAGGACATTCCCACCTGGGACAGACTCCCTGGAGTGTACAGCATCCCACTTACGGATCACAGATTTGATAGAGTCCTCATCTACATCGGTTTCACTAAGTGCTCCTCGGGGGTTCGAATGAAAGAGCACCTTGCTGACATACAGCACGCGAGGACCACCACTGCTTTTGCCATTTACACCAGTGATCCAGACATAGAGCCAGATTTTAACCATGCACAGAATATCTAAGGTGGTTGGAGGCCATTTGTATCTACAGATCTAGCCTCACTGACACGTGTCAACCACAAGGAAGAATTGACTCTGTCCATAGCATGGCAAACACTAATGGACAATGACCTGTAAATCTCAACAGATGCTACCAACTAGAGTGCGCATTCCAAGTAAGATGACATCAAGAATCATGTATAAGAATGAACTTTCAAATCATTGTGTTCTTATTTAGTTGCATTCCATCGTAAATTAGCCATTTCACTTGCAGAAGAATCATTTTTTGTTTGAAAACGTTTGTGAAGTACTGTTTTTTCATTCTTTTCATTTTTCAAGTTTCACACCGGTAACAGGCTTTGGTACATAGTTGACTTCAACCCAGTGTTGTTTAGTGTAGAAATATACATATAATAAATAGAATTCAAATATACATTCAATTCTGTTTTTACATGATAGATATGTTCCCAAAGAATACATATAAAAAAAGTACCGATTCTCAAAAGTGATACACAATTTATAATTAGGGACATTCTCCAGGAATTTTTTTTTTTTTTAGAGTTTGGATTTATCATGCTAAATCAAAACAAATCATGTATTAAAAAAGAGAAATATTTTAATTTGTGTTAAATTAAAATTGTGTAAAAAAAAATCTATGTAAAAGCAGAATTGAGTATATAAAGAAAATTATAATTACATATAAAACCAAACCTGACAAAGTCATAAATAAATAATACCACCAGATCTTAATCAAGCTATATAGATAATTAAATATATTATATAACTTGTACTAAAGGTAAATGATTAAGCTGGCACCTTTACACAAATCCTAGTAAAGTATCTTGTGCATCAGTAAATTTATTTTTTCATATTTATTATTCAAAGATATTTCTGATTAATTTTTTGGCATTAATATTTTCAAATTTCAAATTTTAAAATTAGATAAAAATAACAATTGTTATTTCCTTAATAAACTCGAATCTATTCAACTTACAATAAAAAAATTTTTCCTGGAACTTAAAATTAAATATAAATTTTTAAAATCTGAAAATATTTAACAAACACATAGCTGGTTTATTTAAAATATTTTAATCTTTCATTATAATCTCATATATTAATATAATAACTTATGTCTATACATTTTCAGCTGTATAAAAACCACCTTTTATTGGTGGAACACGAGTTTCTATGACAACCACATTTGAATTCAAATTCTTCTTAGAATAATCTGTTAAATTTTAATGGTTACATAACTGACCATTAAAATTTAATTTATCAATTCATCTGCATTCAAGAAACTAAATTATGTCCAATGCTATGGCTCAGATTAAAATTGATAGATTTAATTTCTTTTCCCATTTCACTGTCCAACATATAGGCTTATTAAAAAATTTATTTCACTTTTTTGCTTAAATGATTTTCAAATTAATTCAGACAGGTCTCTTTCAAAATTGCTGTCCTATGTTTGTATATCTGAAGATTTACACCAACTGTTAAAATTTAATGGATTGTTCTAAGAATAATTTAGTTGCAGTAGAAACACATGTTCTAACAATAAAAATCATATCATTTTAGTTTTTATCATTACTATTCAATAAAATTGATAAATGTTTTTTTACAAAATCTTAATGGAGAGCATTTTTTTTTATTATTTGATAAATTTTAACACAGTATGTTCCATTTGCAGTGTATTTTAGTTCATTTTAGGCTGGGTCATAGCATCAGAAGTAATTAATTTTCTTGAATGTAAATAACTCAAAATTTAAAAATTATTATAAACTTATAATGTGAATTTGGCATTGACAAAATTTACTCAGTAATGTTATCCCTGATGAATAACATATTTACATTCAAAATTAAATATACCAGGGGTGGCCAATAGTTTTTGCCCCCAGGCCAGATTGGAAAGAAAACTTTTTCCAAGGGCTGAACCAGAGGCTGCCCTAGGAAGATTTTGAGATGGTGCAAGATCTCATTGTGATGTCACCCCGTAGAGACTGAATTGTAGATAGAGATTGTGGATACATTTTTCACATTATCATGCTTTATCAACACTCTATGCTATATTTAAGAGATTTGTAATGGAGGGTTAACTCTAAACGCACAGTGAGTTGTTGATCTTTTTTTTTTCTTCTTAGGCATCAGAATTTTTCATCAAGCTATTCAAAATTCAATACTTAATACTGAAAGATTGATCGCAGGCCACATAAATTCATTAGATGGGCAGGTCTGGCCCGCAGGCCATATGTTGGCCATGCCTGAAATATACCAATTTTTACTAGATAGTGAATACTTAAATTCAAAGATTGACAAAATTGGGTAAAAGAGATGTTGCTAAATGACAAGTTTATATTTAGGATTCAGACAAATAATTAGAAGATGACATAGTCTTTACAAAAATGATGCAATGAAAGATATACTTATATATACAAATAAACTTGATCTAATGCAACAATCATTTCGCTTTAATATAACTATCAGGCTTATGGATATATATATATATACACACACACATGCACAAACAGACAAACAAACAAAAACACACCATGCTAGGAATAAAGAATTAGCAGGATTAATGATTTTTACTAGACAACTGACAAATTGGATTTCTTCACACACTTTTGAAAGGTTACTGATGGTCATAAAATATTCTTGTTATTTTACTACAAATTCTCATTATGGGTGACAGAAAAATTTGACAACATATTTAATGTATCTATCTGTTTTTATTTGGAATGTTTCATGAAAATTTTTCTGCAAAATGTTTTCTTCAGTTATTAAATATATTGTTTATAAATATTACAGTTAGAGATTAGACACTCAAGGTGATGACAAGAAAAAATTATATTGCATTTTCACTATTCATTTTCCAAGAATAAATTAAAAATCATCTTAGATTTTCCAATTAATTTAAAATTTAAATAAACAATCTTATTTGTTTCACATAAAACTTTGTCATAATATCCTGATGAATCATAAGCAGCAACTTATGATTCAATTGAACAAACAACTAAAATGCAATTTTACTGTATTTCATGTAAACAATCCAAATAGAAACTGATCCCATTATCATTTTAAATAAAGACAAAGAGATAATCATATATATTTTGTAACATTTGGAAAAGAGACAAAAATTATTTCATTTTAAAAACATCAATTCCAAATTCATGTAAGAGGAAAAAACCATGAATTTCAGATTTTCAAAAATTCTGAATATCAATTACTGAAATTAATTAACAAAAAGCTATCTTCTGATACACTGAAGAGAAGTGACAAAAACTTATTTCCACACACAAATCACATAACTGAATTTAAAGTATGTGATTCATACCTTTTCTCAGATACTTATATGGCAATTTCATACTAAAAAAGAGTATTTAGTATATTTGTTTTGCAGAAAGCCATTTTACAGGAAATGTATACACCAAGCAGTAAGCAGCATCTCTAAGCTCTTTCCCAGAAACTAAATTCAGCATCTCAGCACAAATTTGAACTATGTCAATGAGCAGTTGTGACTTATCTTGATTTATTTTGAGCATCATTAGCAAAATGTGTCTTAAAATGCAAAATTACCCTTAATGCACATTTGGTATGATTTGGTAGGTTACTTTGGTTTGAAAATATTCAAAAATTTTTCACATATAAATTAATAGTAATTGCTTCTTTGCTTTATGCCATTTTGGCTTATGAAAAGTTTCATAGGGATGCTCTACATTCAAATAGTGGGGGAAATCTGTACTGATAAACAGGTAATTGGGTTTTGTATACAAACAATAAAAATAAAATTTAAGTAACAGGGAACATTACATTATAAACACTAAATTTTCATAGGGATGCTCTACATTCAAATAGTGGGGGAAATCTGTACTGATAAACAGGTAATTGGGTTTTGTATACAAACAATAAAAATAAAATTTAAGTAACAGGGAACATTACATTATAAACACTAAATAACAATTATAAATATAAAATAAAATNCGATTAAAATAGTCCATCCATAATATTGCCACAAAATTGCTACCATGATAATGATGAAAAAAGGATTTGCAAATAAATATGAAATGAAGTAAACTTTCTGTAATAAATAAATTTATTAAATATTGCTAATGTCACAAGTAAAGTATAATCTTGTATTTAAAAAATAATAGTACATTTGGCATTCTAAATTCACTTATCCCTTAATATATGGACATTGGCTTTTAACAAACAATAGCAATTTAACAATTTTTGATTATGTAGATTACTTTTCAATATTACTGGTAAGTTAAAATGAATAACTAAGTTTAATAGTAACAAGAGAATGATGATACTTCTTTTTATATGTCTGTGTTTTACACAAATATTTTAAGTTTTTTTTTTTTATAAGAAACAAAGCTTTATGTAACTGTGATGTTTCTCGTTTCTTGTAGAAAAACTCTTGCAGTGACTGTATTTGTTTGTAGTAAAGGTTAACTGTCAATCAGGCCACATCCACCATCTTTATGTGGAAGGGTTAATCTTTCTGTGGTGGATTTAGGATGATGATGTTAATGCTTAGTAAGTGTTGTTCTTGTTTTTCTTTGGAGTTGCTCAAGATCTGTGTGAATCCAATGTATAATGCCAAAAGAGTAAGTACTGGGATAACATATGAGTTTATTGCTTTAACTGTGTGTTTTGCATTTAACTGTATTCTGAGAATAGCATTTAACCTACTTTAATATTCTTTAATTAATCTTTGCTTTATTTGTGTATATACTGTTAGTTTGGCCTGCGACATCCATAATTTTAATTGCAGCCAACTGTCCAGTTTTTGTGTGACGACCCTGAAATAAATATTTTGCTTTTAAAATATAATCCTTAGAGCACAAAATAAGAAATTTAGTTTTTAACATTGTTTTAATTATAATTCATGTTGATTAAGTGAAGTGTAAGTAAAATTTGTAACTTTGTGTAGCCATGAGAATAAAATTTTAACTGCTATAGCTTAATAATTTTTGATTTATTTAAGTAAAACAAAAGCTATAGTTCACTATAATTCAGTTATCAGTATCTTTACTAATAAAAAAACTGAGATAAATCCATCAAATTCAGTCATTTTTTATTCACTTTCAGTCTACCTATCTCAATTTTTTATTAAGAAAATTAAAAGTTATCCCTTGATAATTTTATAATCAGTATCCTTTCTTATATCATTCATTTTTGAGTATAATTTTGCTTTAATAACAAAGTAAAAAATTTAATAATTAAGCTTATTAAACTACAACAAACAATAACATTATGCAGTCAGAGAGATGGATATATTCAACAACACAGCAATGTTATATTTTTATTGCTGTGTTATGGAAATTAAAACAAAGAACACTTATGCTTTACTGTAATGTCAAATTATTAATACTAAATCATTAAATTTAATATGTTTGGTTTTTATGTAAAATTTTCTCTTTACATAATTTCTTTCAAGCAATAAATGTTGTACAATCAAATAAATTTTAATTAAATAACCAAAGTGAAATCCCATGATCAATATACAATAGAGCGTCGTTTATCCGAAGGTCGGTTATCCGAAGAAATTCCAGTCGACAAATTTAAATTTTTGCCAGTGCTGTGGCGCTGCAATCTTTGGCTGTGTCTTGGGCTACTCAAATATTTTACGTTTTTGATACTGAATTAACTTCTGAAGTATAATTTTTTATTGTTTTTATANTGCTAAAATTTATATTTTATTCATAAGAAACACATTTAAAATAATAGTTTTAAAACTTATGATTTATAATTGCTTTTATCAACCACAACCATCAGTTCTCTTTTTAATTAACTAAAGAATAATCTGTCACTGCATTTCTATTATTCTGACTCATTCTACAGAAACTTGTACTGAATGATAACAAGTTATCTTTTAATTTTCATTCAGTACAGATAGTTTGTCAAACTAACAAGACATAAATATGAGGGCAAGCAGCAGTTAAAGATTATTATATTCTAGTCAGTTTGAAATTAGATTGTGGGTGGTTTCATAATAAATAACTACAGTAATCTGTCATCCTTTTAATAGATTCTGTTAAGAAAAGCTTTCTAATCATAATGTTTAAACAGTGTCAGAATTTTTATTTATTTATAACAGTAGAGAAAATTTACAACATATATCTTAATTAGAATAATTTTTTCTTTGGAAGAATTCAAAAATTTTAGTGTTTTAATCACCCTGACAATTTAAAATTTCTATACTTGTCAAATAGGTTAAAAAATTAAATATTAAAATATCTAAATTCAGATAGTTGCATTAAAGCCAGATTAAAATGAGTTATGCTATTACTACTATTAACAATTAAATTTAAATTAAATTGAATAATTTAATTATGGACAGCAGCATTAATATAGCCTGATCTAACCCAGCAATCATTTGGCTCTAAATTCAGATGTATAAAATTTTGGAGATATTCATTAAGATAAGTGCATGTCTATTTTAATATTTTAGATCATTCCTATTTGGTTATTAGTTCCTTAACTATCTATAATTAAGATTCAGAGCTATTTTTGGTAAATCCTAAGCTCATTTAGCTCTTCTTAAAATTCTTTTAGATTGTCTAAATTCCAGAGATTCTTACTAAAATGTGATAGAATGACTAAGATAAAATAAGACAATTTTCACAAGAACTGCAATCTTAGTTATTGTGATTCAGACATACCAGTCTGTTTATAAAAATTCAGTCTTACAGAATAACTAGTAATGTTAATTTAAGCTTACTTGTTAGTAATTTATTTTCAAAATTAATTTCTGATAGAATTTTATTTTATATTTATTATTAGTCTTATTTTATAACTTGTTACTTCATTAATTTTCTTTATATTCAAATTTTGCTCCTTTTCATGTTAAAAGAGCTTAGTCATTTTTCTTATTCTAGTTATTTGGTCCTGTAATTGGAATTAGCTAACATTTTCTATCTCCAAAATGTTCCTCAATGTCATCTTATACTTATTCCTTAATAAAAATAACATGTAACTATAACATAACTATGAATTTTTAAACAAAACACATGAATAAACAGTTATTTTCACATAAGTGTTTTGCACTGTTTATGTAACTAACTCAAAACTGGAAACAAGTTGAATGAGCAACATAATCTTGATATTCTAGTAGTATTCAATTTAATATAATTAACATTTTTTACCATATTTTAAGGGTCATCCTTGGGTATGTTTCTTAGAACAAATGAATAGAACACCATTCATTTGTTCTAAGGATTGGGATGATCTTTAAAATAAGGAATGTATGGTAGCCGAGGATAAATATTTCCAGTATGTAAAAATAAAATTATTATATTTTTACAGAAATGGAATCTAAATTATAAAACTTAATTTAGATTAGTACAGAATAACTTTTAAACAAAAATTTGTTTGTATATTTCAAATAAGAATTTAAAGTTTAAAAAAAATTTAATATTTTGAAATTAAATTGTTTTCCATTATAAATTTAAATTTTCAATAATTATTAATATCACTTGAAATAGCTAAAAAAATTATTAATACTTCTTAAATCTCCTAACAAAAGAGTTTTGTTTTTATTTTAGATTGTATATTCAAATATCATTTAATCAAATTATACAAATTAAAATAAGCTAAAAATTTTCCTATTTAATTAGAAACCTTACAGCTTATCTTTCTAAATATTTCATTCTCTATAAAAAGAAAGCTTTTGTAAGCATTCAATATAAATTACATATAAATAAAAATACATATACTAAAGTCAAAGTTAAAATAAACCATTTGTCACTATTCAATATAATGTGCAAAGAAGAATTGATAAATAACAAAAGAATTCTTGAAATATATCTGACAAAAAATCTTTGAACAGCAAATTCTTTTGTTAATTGGAACAGAATAACATTTCAAAACTTTCCTCAATTTGTTTCAACTGAAATACTACATCTTTTCATAAAATATACTACTGCTTCTTTATTGAGATATTATAGTAATTATTTTCACAGAGATATTAAAATAATCATTTAAAGATGGTCCAAATAAATAAATTTTAATTAGTTAAACCTTTACATAGAATATTTTTGTTTTAACTTTGCAAGTTAATATTTTTCAGATTATAAAAGAAATTTTATTTGATAAAATATCTTATGTCTGCAATACTCTCTATTATCATGTTTTAATTTTATAAAGTTTAATATAAATGTAACTGCTTCTTACATAAATATATACTGTACTTCAAAATTTATTATTCTACCAGTACTTTTTCATTANACACGCAACGGAGAAAAATTTCAACACAGGATAAATTAATATATTTTTTCGTACATAATTGGTTATCCGAAAAATAAGTTATCCGAACAACCCCAGTCCCCAATTGATTCGGATAAACGACGCTCTACTGTACTTACAATTCCTTAAATGTTATGAAACACAGAACTATAATTTAATACAGGAGACTTGTCTCTCTCTATTATGAGAATTACATCTTATGATCCATGACTGTACCATCTCTGACAAAACTGTATTGGACAAATTTAAATCTTAACATAAACTACTATCCAATAAACTTATTAATTAGCCTTAAAGTAATCCGGCAAATCATTTGGTTAATCATCATCTTGTAAAACAAAATTAATCAAAAGAAGCATTTGAAATATTTAAACTCTTATCATAAAGTTTTTTTTATCTTTGTCATGAAAAAGTTTGATTTATAATATAAGAAAGTGTCATTAATGTATCAAATCCATCCAACAAGCAAAGCGATAATAAATACAAATACATTGCACTAACCTTGTATCGCCTTGCAGATAATATTTTAGAACGCAACACTAACGTTTTCGACCCATTTCTAGGGACATTTATAGAACACCTGAAGAAGACCCTAGAAATGGGTCGAAAACATTAGTGTTATTTTCTAAATTTTATCTGCAAAGCTATACAAGGTTAGTGTGACATTTATAGTCATTAATGTATTTGTAAATAACTTTGTTAAATTATTGAAAGATTGAGAAAAATTCTGCTGCTGAATATAAGAATTGAAGAGCTAGTCTTTAAGAAAAATGATTCAAATTTTACCAGCAATGCCAATGCAACAAGACAATTTATAAGCTATTATCTAAATTAAAAATTTTATTAGTGTTATACTATTATTGGATACTTTCAAAAGATGTTATATAAAGCTATAATTTTCAATCTTGATTTCATTTAAAATCAGATTACTGACAACTCTTGAGTAATTAATAAAACATTTGATCAATTTCTTGAAGACTTACAATTCAACATCAATCAAAATTATAAAAAAATGAGTACAACAACATTGCTATTGTATTAGTTTTATTATAATTTATATTGTACAATTTTCTGGCAGCCAATTGATTATCACTCAAAAGCTAAATTTTTTAAATCCTAGATGATTAATTTAATGTAAATAACATTACCAAATGAGATTTCCTGTAATCTGAATTATTTAGTTTTTATTAGTCATTGTTGAATTCTAATTCTGAAAATCTATTTCTACTATATCATTTTCCAGATGAATCATAAATTCTCAAAAGGTCAAATTACTTCATAAATTATTTAATTATGAAGTAATTTGACCCTTTTTCCAAACATTTTTCTAAAACAGTGGAATTGATATTATATTTTATAGAAACACCTTTAATATAATATGCTTAATTCAAAAATCATATTCCAAAACACTATATTTTCCAATATTTAATTGCAAGTATTCTAAACTATAAACAGAAAATTTATTTTCTTTTAGCAGCTTTCATAACAATAGCAATTATTAATCTTATATTCCAAGGAACAAAGTTGACTAACAATAATAAGGAACTCAAGATAA